CCATATAGTCACACTACCTATCAGTGCAGCATCTAAGGGCTTAGGCAAGGATAACAAGAAAAAAGGAGGATAAGCTTCTCCTGGGACTCTCCGTCCATTGGTGTGCCAAGCCAAATTTTTTATTTGGAGAGCAATTCTGCAGAAATGAACAGAAACTGCTATCTAAACATTTTAATAAGAATAAGCCCCCAAGCCAAAATGCAATCAAGTGCACTGCTATCTAGTAATTTCACTTATACAACTGTTCCGCAAGCTGCTTCTCTCTCCATATTCAGATAACCCTCGCCTCTAGGGCGACAGTAAAAATGATATTTTAATAATGTGCCACATCTGTGGTCAGAAATACTTAATGAAACACTCCTACCATCATACGGTAACAAGCTTCAAAGAACTATTTTCCAGATTTAGACAGGACTGGCTTGCTTCTTCTGGTAACTTGCATTGACATATTTTTTCAATATTGTCTGTAAGAACTCATACCTAATGGTAAGTACATAGGGTGAGGCCTAGCATTTATGTCAGCTGTGAGGACTTGTTTGCTGCCACAAAACTTCTAAATCAGTGCTGTCCAACAGAAATATAATGTGAGGTGCAAATGTAATTCAAAAATTTCTATAGTCAGTTTAAGAAAACTACAAAGAAACAGGAGAAATTACTTCTAATAAATTTTATTTAACACATATATCCATAAGATCATTTCAATGTGTAATCAATATAAAAACATGATGAATGAGATAGTTTACATTTTTTATATTAAATCTTGAAAATCTGGTGTGCACTGTATGTACATTTACAGTAGCCACAGCCCAGAGTGGCCACATTTCGAGGGCTCAGTAGCCACATGTGGCTAACAGCTACCATATTGGGTGGTGCAGCTCTGGAACAGAAAGCTTCTCCAGGGGTGATGCACAACCACCTACATCAGGAACCGCCTGGGAATCTTAATAGGGTGTGACTTCTAGGCTCTGTCCCTGACCGACCAATCATAGTTCTGGGAGTGGCACTAAGGAATTTACACTTTTTAACAGGTTCCATAGCTAAAGCTTTGCTTATTGAAATTTGAGAGCATTGGTTAGATTCCCTGTCTCAAATTTGCTCAATTTACCCCTAGCCCTTCAGCCAAGCAACTGCTACAACCTTGACCTCAAGGTCTTCTAAGCCAGTAGACGCAACCACACAACCCAGTCCATTCTTCCATTGACTTATCAGGTATGACCGGAGCCCTGTCCTAGGCCCTGGAGATAGAATGATAAACAGTAAAGGACAAGGCCCTGCTCTTCTGAAGCTTACATCCTCGTGAAGGAGACAGAGAGTAAACAGGCAAAGAGGCAAATAAGTGATTCAATGTCAGCCAGGTGGTGGTAAGCACAGAGGGGGAAAGCAAAGCAAGGGTTGAGATGGCGGGTGGGGCGGAGGAAGGACGAAGCCTCTAGGTGGATGCGGTGTGGCCATCTTGGAGGGTCCTGGGAGGAGGTGACCGCTGCCAGACACTGAGTAAAAGAGAGGGTGCCTGGGGGAAGAGCACCGCCTCAGAGGGAGCAGCCCGAAGGCCGGCGTGGCTGGAGCCCAGCAGCCGAGGCACGGAGTGCGCAGAGGCATCAGGGCAGGTGGGGCTCATCCTAAAGGCGGTGAGAATTCCCGGGAGAGTCTTAAGCAAGGGCATGTGACATGATGCTTAATAAAGGTGGCTATGGAAATTGTCCAGTGAGATGTGAGCTTGGACAACCACGGGGGTGGGGAGAAGTGGCCGTCTGCAGGGTGTATGTGGAAGGAGAGTGGAAGGCATTTGATGGATGGGCTGTGGGGAGGGAAGGGAGAGAGGAAGGGAGATAGCGCCTTCGTTTAGGGCCTGGCCGCCCAGTGATGGGTGGGGTATTTACAGAGTGCGGAAGGTGGGGGTGGGGATGAATATAAAAAACAAGGTGCACTGATTATCTCTTTACAGCCCAGTGAGATGCTTATCGTGAAAATGACTCTATTCTGGTTAAAATGGCGAGGGACACAGGAGTTGCCTTATCGCACGCCTGAGCTTCATTTGTCCTTTCTCTGTACTATTTCCCACAGGGGTGCCAAAGACTAAGAAGCTTTCCTGCCCTCAAGGGGCTGGAAGAAGCCCCAGCCTCCCTCCTCCAGAATTCCTTACCAGGTGTGCACATGTACAAACTCTCTCTTTCTCTCTCACACACATACACACACGCGCGCACACAGTGTACCCTGCTTCTCCCCAGAGGAATCTCACCATCCGTCCAACGTCCTTTGGCAGCCCTCACACTGGAAGACAAGCGAGGCGGTCAGAATCCTAGAACGGCCCATCTAGTCCCCAGATAAGCAGGACTCACGCTGGGCTATGATCTCAGAAATTACATTATAAGGTAAAGGTGAAAGTGATTTTGTAGATGTAATGAAGGCCCCCAATCAGTTGACTTTAAGTTAATCAAAGGGAAATGTGTCCCAGGTGGGCTGACCTCATTAGGCGAGCCCTGTACACATGGGTCTAGAGGTTGGAGATGAAAGATCACCAAAAAATGCTCTTGTTTTGGCCATAAAGAAGTTAACTGCCATGTTGTAGAAAAGGTTCATGCGTCAGCGAAGGGGCTTCCAGGAGCTGAGAGTCTTTTTCCTACAACCACAAAAACAAGCCGAGGTCACAGCTCCAGTGCCCCTGGATTACAGCCTGGTGAGACCCCGCACAGAGCACCCAGCTCAGCCAGGAGAACCGACGGTCCACAGGAACTGTGAGATGGTAAATGTAGGTGGTTTTAAACCACTAAGTTTGTGGGAATTTGTTAGGCGGCAGTAAAAGACTAGCACAATAAAATAACAACTATAATAAATAGAGCAATAACAGGTAACAGTAGCATTCAGTATGTACTATGTGCTAAACATTTTCAATTGCTTTGTGTCATTATTCTTCACAACCACCCCATACATTTGACACTATTCATATCCTAATTTGATACGTACAAACGCTGTGGCTTCAGGATAAGTCACAGAATGGAGGATGTGATGGAGCGGGGAGTCAGCCCAGGCCTGGAACCCTGAAGAGAGAGCTGGGGCGCCAGGCGATGCTGCCCCCGCTAGAGGAGTGCCTGTGCGAGTCCTGCACCTGTGACCCTTTTCTTCATAATTAGGAAGCCCGCTCTACCCCGCATCTTACCCCTTTAGTCACGGCCCCAGCTCTCGCATCCAGGCCTCTGATGGGCCATCACTCCACTTCCTCTCCTTGTCCTCTAAGGTCCTGTGGTCAGTGTGGACAGCATAGCCTCTGGGAGCTAAGGTGTCCCCAGGCTCCCCTGGGCATATGCTGGCCTAGACCACGCTCAGGGTGCCCAACCTTAGGGTTTTCCCAGGACCATCCCAGTGAAAGCCCTACCTCCCAGGAAACCCCTCAGGCCCTGACAAACTGGGATGATGGCTCACCCTGCTGCCCTCCAAACCCCAAGCCTGGGCTGGGGTACACAGGCCAAGGGACCACTGTGCCCTGCAGCTTGCTGTGAGCTTTCCTGTCACCAGGAAGGAAGAAGTACCTGCTGGGATATCAGTCTTGCTCTCTACAGATGACTAATTTCAGGAGCAACTCTACTGAAGCAGATGGGGCCAGGTAACTCCTGCTGGCTGGGGTCTGGCAGGGAAAGTCTGGGCAGGACTTCAGTCTGGACCATCAGGTCCCATGAGCCCTTTCCCTGGAATTGAGAGATCCACTGGCCTTGAGCATCACACATGAAGCACATTGGTCCAGACATCACATAGGACAGACTCCATGTTTCTCTCTACTCTGCTCCCCAAGCAGGCAACCCAGGAAAAGCTGGAGGCGGTTTGGGCCCTGGATTCATCTCATCCTTCCTAGAATTGGGACCATAATGAGATTCAGCTGGGGGTAAAGGTCACCTCAATTTCTTAATTTGTCCTCCGTCCTGATGAGACACCCTTATAGAAACTGGTTTCTCTCTGTTGGGTAGCCTGGGCTCTTGGTCACACCCAGCTATCTTCCAAGTTGTGCTCTTTGTGCCAACGGACACCAGGTATGACAGTGGTCGGACGAGTACAAAACTGTCCACAATATAGGAAATGGCTGAACATACATATTTTATTAACTACTGCCAGCCAGTGATTCACAAATTCATTCATTCATTTGTTCATTTGTTCGAACAATATTTGGGAGCACCTACAATGGGCCCAGCATTGGCCTAGTTTCTGACACTGAGATACCGCACATTTTAAACTGAATGACCTGATAAGTGCTGTGCTGGGTATGATGCTAGAACCTAAAGACACCATCCTAATCCTCACAGGGTGTGTGTGGAGGTGTATACACAGTCAATGAAAGATTCTTAAAGAAGTCTGTTTTCTATAGGAAGGGTAGTGTATGTATATTTTTTGCATTTGTCCACAATTTATCTTATTAAAACTGTTGAAAAAAAAACACAGCTTAATCTCATAAAACTCACACCAACTGTCCCTTATATCACTTCACAGGACATTTTGTTTAAATTCCTAAATGGTTTTATCTGGTGTTTACTATGGGCCAGTTTCTGAGCTTAGCACAGGAATGCAAAATAAATAGGACATTAGGGATATTCAAGAACCGAAGGTTTAACAGGGATGGGCAACACATAAATACAAATATCTTCACATTGGAAGAGTAGCTTGCTGTGGTGAGACGTGCATAGGGTGCTGTGGGGGTCAGAGGGCAACATGCACCAAACTGGAGGGAGGAAAGATGGCTGGAAAAAAGCAATGCTTCACTTGTGTCTCTCCTGTTTCTTTGTTTAGTGGGGTTTATTTGCTCATTAAGAAATTTCAAAAACAAATAAAAGACTAAAACCTCCCCAAAATCTCTTCACCCAGAGAGCATCACAGTTGACATTTTGGTGAATACCCTTCCTGGGCTATATGTGTGTGTGGAGTGTATTTTTTATTATCATAATTTAGGTAGAGGAAAATAAACTAGCTGTTCAACTATAGCAACATACCCACAAAACACTCAGCCACCAGCCTAAGACATGTCTCTGCATTTTATTTTAGGAAAACATAAATCTGCTCACAAGATGTCTTCAGAGAGCAGGATGAGTCGAGGAAGATCCGAATGGGTCTGAATAACCAATCTGGGGCCAGTGCCATTTTCAAGGGCTGGAGCTGAAACACAGTTATTTTCTTCCAGGAAAAGCAAGGTTAACTCCAGCTGGAAAGCCCAGCTGGTCATTAGCTTTGCAGCTAAGAGGAGCTGCGTCTCTTACGGGGTTGAGTTATGATGACTTCGGGTATTGATTAGATGAGGGCACTGGCCCCATAGTCAGCAGAGAGCTAGGGAATGAGGAGCAGAGGGGAGATGGTGGTGGTTATCGTCTTTATGTAGTTTTCAAAGTCACTTCCGAAAAGGAGGATGAGGTAATAGTTGAGTATACCAGCAACGGACATGAGGAACAGGAACAGGATGATGCGTTTTCCAAATATGTAGCCAGGTGTGCTGGGAAAGAAAGAAAGAAATGCACAGAGGACGCCACGTAACCAAAAAATGTCACTTGGCGCTACATGGGGTTTGAATTATAGCTCTTTTTACTCAAGAATGCTCCATTTACTTCACGTGAGGGATGGAAGTGTCTGAGCTTTTATTAGTCACCACACATATTTCAAAACCCAGCTAAGAGAGCCCAGGCCTCAAAACCCACTGTGGCCAGCGTGCGGCTGTCTGGGTCCTCTGCCCTCCTGACTTCCTTCCGAACTCCCAATCCCTGGCGGCCTGAAGATGGCGTTCTGCCCGGGGATCAGCACCCCATCCACTCATTCAGACCCTCTCTTCAGCAGCTCCTTTCCGGGAGCGCCTCTGTGAACCATGTGGGCTGCCGTGTATGATGCGGCACTTAATGACATGGGCGATGGTTCAGTGAAGCAATAATGCTGGTGGCATTAAAAAGGGGCTTTAGCATCTATTTGGAGGTGCAATCTATTCTTCTGAGGCTGCCTGGGACTAGCTCACATTCACACTAATGAGAGCTGGGCCCCCAGCAATGGAAGATAGGCCCTTACATGTTAAGTGAATGGAGGGAGAGAGACTTTTAGCAGATTCCTATCTTTCCCTCAAAGGCTCTAAATCCTAAGCTGCTTAGGCACATCGTCAGCTGGGGTCTGGAGGCACTGCCCAGTGATATGTGACTGCCTAATTGTGCACAGCAGCAGCCCTCCCTGCTTCCTCCGCTCTCTGCGGTCCTTCTGTGACCTCTGTGCCCGCTTCCATCTAGCGTGTCTGAAAGTCCAACCAAATGACTCCTTAAGGATGTTAGTAAAGACTGTGATGAGGGGACTCTGGTAATCAGAACTGCTCAAAAAAAGAGCCAACTCAGCTAAACGTGTGAATGACGCTGCTGAACCTGTTTCTTACTATAATTGGAGAGAGCAGATTTTGGCATCCCCGGGTTCGACATTAGAAATGGTATCTTTCTGAAAAGGACCCCAAAGGTTCATAATGAGACTCATACTTTTCCTATGTCAAGAGCTTGAAAATCACTCAGCACTTGAGTATCAACCTCTTTGCTACTCAAAGTGTGGCCCAGGGACCAGCAGCGTTGGCATCCACTGGGAGCTTGTTAGAAATGGAGTATCTCAGGTCCCTCCTTAGATGGACTGAATCAGAATCTGCATTTTGACCAGCTTCCTCTGTGACTCACAGCCCACTGAAGCTGAGACTGTCCCTGCCCTTGGCCAGCTGTATTCTTCTCTCTCTCGGTTCCCTGTTCACAGTCATGCTCATGAAGTGAGACACTGTCTCTTTATTCGGGGACCTGAAGAGAAAGTTATGGGCTGAACTGTTCCCCCAAATTCATTTGTTGAAGCCTTAAGCCCCAGGACCTCAGAATGGGACTGTATTTGAAGATGGGGTCTTTAAATAGGTGATTAAGGTTCAGCCATGTCACGAGGGTGGACCGTGACTCAACACGACTGGTGTCCTTACAGGAAGAGGAGATTTGGACACAGATATGCGCAGAGGGACAACTGGTGACAGTGGCAACCCACAAGCCAAGGAGAGAGGCCACGGAAGAAAACAGGGCTGCCAACTCCCTGATCTTGGACTTCTGGCCTCCAGAACTGCGAGAAAGTCCATTTCTGCTATTTAAGCCACCCCGACTGTGGCATTTTGTATGGTGGCCCAAGCAGACAAACACGGAGTTACCTGCTCATGCCGAGAAGGAAGTGACTAAAAACTAAAGGAGTAAGGGATATTTTCTAGCCAGAAAACAGAGGGTTCAGAGAAGTTAAATTGTGAAAAGTCAAATTTTGTGGTGGCTCAGATTCATCACATGAACGAGGCCACCATATGCTCATTACAGAAACAAGAAAAAGTGATTTGCAAAGCTGCTTCGGAACATGCCCGAGATAAATCCGTGGTGAAGAATGGAGTGGCGGTGCCTCCTGATGAAATAGCAGTATTCTTGAATCTGGGCTAGGTTTTTAAAGGTCTCAAGACATATGGCCCTGAAAGGAGACAGGTCTCTGGTGCTCAAACTCTTCCGGGGCCATGCAGAGGGTGTGGATGGCAAGAACTCACCACATGCCCATCCCGTGCAGGGCTAAGTGTGAATGGGGGTCCCGGCCCGGCACCGCATTAGCTGCAGTTTGAAGTCTCTCAAGCTTAGAGACGGGCAACCCCCTGGAAGCTGGGCATGTGTGCACATATGAAGAACCCACCACAGGCTCAGGCAAAACGCACAACAGGAAGTCAGGCAGAGCACAGGGGGAAGAGGGAGGGGCCTCAGCGGGGCACAGGCTGTGTAAGTAGTCAGAAAATCAAGATATTTATTGCCTCTAAAAGCTGATGGATAGTTCTCACTAAATGAGGTAGGAAGAGTCAGAATTAAATTATTAAATTTCTATAAGGAACAGGCGTTTTATAGCTGTGAGTTCATCTCATCCTCAGAATGACTCTGTGAGGCATTATTAACCTGTTTTCCAGGAGGGTAAACTGAGACCGGACAGAATGACTCGCCTAAGCTCCCACAGCCAGGGAGAGGCAGAGCCGGGATTCAACCCCATCTGTGTGAGGCCAGAGTCCTATTCTGTCCCTGATTTCCTGAGGACCCCTCCAGATTTTGGAGACTAGGATTTGGTTATTCATTCTGAAGCAAACATGTTCTCCACACACACAGCATAAAACCTACGTGAAAATATGAAAGATGCATTATGCCAAGCAATTCCCACCTCAAGGGTGCCTAAATCTTCTAGGAAGAGTGGCTGTGGTGTGAGAAAGGTGGACCCAGCTATGGAGAGATTCAAGTCCCTGCCCCAGCACACTGCGGTGTCACCCACCCTCCCTGTCTCACACACAGATGTACACAAAATGTGGGTAGAAAAGGAAAATGTTATAATCCCTCCTGGCTTTAAAATTCTCTTCTTTTCAAAAAGGAAATGCCACTTTAAATATGGTAACTTCAAGAAGGAATAAAAATTGTAAGGTCCATAGAGCGGGATATCATTCCTTTGTGCCCCCATGTACCTCCAATAAATCCGGCCCTCCACACTTTTTGTTGAATGAATGAATCATTTTCAGAAAAGAGGCATGAGCCGCTTTCAGTGATTCCCAGACTCTGTGCATATTACAATCACCTGAATACGGTGTTAAAGTGCAGATTCCTGGGCCTCCACCCCAGAGATTCTGATTCTGTAAGTCCAAGGTAGGCTCAGGAATCTGTATTTTTAGTAAACACCCCAGGTGATTCTGGAACAACTGGTTGGTAAGTTTCACTTCAGAAACAGCAGAATTGATACCCATAATACCTGCCAAGGGGTCCCCAAAGGACCCTCTAACTCTGGTGAAGGAACCTCATGGTCCACATTGGTGAGGAGCCATGACTGTAAAATATGGACTCTAAGGGAAAATGACTGTGAGGGATTGGTCCTTTCGAAAATCATGCCCATTATTATTTCTGTCAGTTGAATATTTTTGGTCTTGCACCATGCCCCTTACGCTCAGAGATCCCCAGGTCTCCTTGAGGACAAGAGCTTATCGTTATCTTCTCAGCAACTGACACAGTCGCTGGCTCAGGGCAGGTGGTCAATAAACATTCCTGATCGGATGGATGCTGAGTTAATGAGCTGTGAGCCAGATGAAGAGCAGGTGGAATCAGGTAACTGGGGTTCACTGGCCCCAAAAGCTGCCAATCTTTGCCCCTCTGCCATTTGGCTGAGAACTTCGAATTGCAAAGAGGAATTTAGCGGGAGCTGCAACAGGGGTACTGGGTTCTGAGGGACAAGGAGAACAGCCTGGTGTGAGCTGGTGAATGTAGGTGATATAAGGCAAATGGTCTTGTAATATAACGCCACCTGCCTTTGAGCTGGGGCCTGATAGTAGCTTAGAATGAAAGGGGAAGAAACTAAGATTCCTCCTTAACTTTCAGCCATGTAGTTAAGGATGTTATAGACAGCCTAATCAGGACAGGGGGGAAGAGGTCAGGAGTAAGATGTAGGATGTAGGACTGAGAATAGGAGCCATGAACTTCCAGGGGGTGTAAAGGAGGAAGCCGCCAAATCCCTAAAGGGAGATGCTCTGGCGGGGGAGATGTGTCAAGGAAGGCCTCGCCTCCGCACTGGGCCAAAATGACGCTGCCATTCCTGAAGTGGGCAGGGTCAGAGCAGCTTCTGGGGAGGAGCCAAAGATGATCTGGAACCCAAGAGAGATCTTCCTGGGGAAGGATCTCACTGAGCAGTGTGTCCCTCCATTGGAGAGGCCACGAAGTAAAGCAGATCCCAAAGACATTAGGGCATTAAAGCATCTGCAGAGTCAGAGTGTGACAGGGCCCAGGGATGGAGGGCAGGTAGATAAAAGAGGGGAGTCTGCAGTGGAAGAGGGCATTAGCAGGTAGTTTCTAGAAGGCAGAATTGGAAATCCCCTTGGACCTAGCCACAGAGCCCCGCAGGCTTCATCTTCCTCAGGCTGTGCCTGGACCTAGATTAGGATCAGATATTTCATCTAGTATGTATCATTTCTATTGATGACAACTGCTAAGATCTGTGTTAGAAAGTATCGTGAGGCCGTGTTTGATCGCAGCAGGAGAGCGCACCTAAAATCCAGGATTGATTGGTAATGAAATGATTAGGGGAGGTGAGGAGGGTTTGAAACCAGCACACACAGTAGGTAAAGGGGCTGGTGAGGTGTTACAACCACTTAATGGGGGAGACCAGGCAAGGATATAAGAGGTTAGGCCGTTTACATTTCAATGAGGTCCAGAGAAACCAAATAATTTTAAGATTTTAAGCCTATACCCTAGTGTTTAGTTCTGCCACCTCTGTTCATTCCCTAGTATGATTACCTTTAAAATGAAAAGGGCCTGTGGGTAAATGGACACCATTTGTCATGTTCCATAGATTGTCTTAATATTAAAGCAACTTCAAGATCTCAGGCAAGTGGTGGCAGATGGAGAGCAGAAGGACTAGGCCAGGTCCCAGGGACGTGGGGAAGGACGGCGGGGATGCCCAGGGGGCTGGCCTGAGAGCTCAGATGCCCTACTTCATTGACAGACACTTTGACCCCCTCAACTCTATGACAGGCAATCTCCTGGGGGCACACAGAGGCTTTCCGGGATACAAGAGAATAAAAAATATCATTCAGAACCTTGTTGATGAGGTAATAGAGATAATGGAATTGTGGTTTTAGAGGAGAAATAAGAAAGCCACTGAGGAAGAATGAGGAAGAGATGAGCATGGGAAAGAGGTGCTGGAGGAAGGGCCATTTTTCTCCAGCTGCAGATCACCTTCAAGCCCCCCAAGTCACTGAGCTTCGCAGGCTCCCCAGAGGCAGTGCTTTTCCTGCCAGCCTCCTGGGATGTCACTGTCCTTGTCACGGCTGCAGGACGCCACAGAAAAGGGATGGGAAACTAGACATGGGGGAAAACATGGTGGAAAAGGTGGGATCAGCCTCCCAGAACACATGCCTACCCCTCGGAGCCCTGCTGCCTATTAGGAATTCTGATCTCTAAGGAGCTGGTGGCGTACTGGAACTTGAACATTTCTTCTGTGAGTATCGTGATTTCTCTTACTAAAATCCAGGTATAGTGAATGTACAACCATTGCCCTGGGACTTTCTGTCGGGCAACATCTATAAGCAATGCAGTGGTGTCTCTGTTCACCGTCTCCATCCTCTGCATGCTCTGGCATCTTATTTGCTCTTTCTGCTGGTCCCTGGATGCTCTGTTACTCAAGAGAACTTATCAAGGTTTAGTTCCCATTTCTCTAGGCAAACAATGAAATGCTTCACTCACTGGAGGCCTTGAGAAGCCAGACACAGGAAGTCATTCAAGCCCCAGAGGGTGTGGGGCTGTAAAGAATACCCAGCACACAGTGTTAAGGCATCTGTTGTGAGCCTGACACTATGTGGAGGAATTTTTTTAGTGGGAAAACTAGTCAAGTCCCCCAGCTGTGTTTTCAGAGCCTGCAAAATTCAGGGAGTTAAGGATGAGGGATCGTAGTTGCCTTCGCCCTCCGCCCTCGGGGATCCCCCAGAGCCTTCAGTGCTAGGCAGAATCTTGTGAATTACCACTCTTGCTGCCAAAACGCACCATGCCAAGGCTCTTACACAGTCCCAGCAGCCTACCTCTGAGTCCTCTCTCCCAGGTAGCCCACGAAGTATTTTTGCCTCACAAACAGGTACATGAGTCCAGCAAAGGCAGCAGGAACTAGTGGAGAAAGAGAAATGCCTGAGTTAGTTTTGTAGCGGCCAAAACATGCTAAGTTAACACAATGTTAAACCAGTTCTCACGCAACTAATGTTGCCACAGTACCTAGCAGGGGCCTCAGGTTCTGACAGTCATGGCTGATGTGAACCTCAGCCAAAAGCCTTCTGAAGAAACCTTGAGAACTTTGATAATAGTAATGTTACTTTATATCGGCAGTGTGGGATGGTTTTCAAAGTATTTCATATCCATCATCTCATCTGGACCCTTTTCACATGACTGTTATCACCTTTTCTATCTCCAGACATGGCAACTTAGGAACTTAGGTTCAAGGGGTCAAGGGGCTTGTATAAGACCCTCAGGTTGTGTGTGTGTGTGTGTGTGTGTGTGTGTGTGTGTGTGTGTGTGTGGTTGGGGGTGGTGAGGAGCTGGACTTGAACCCTGAGCCTGGCTCTGAGGCTGGTTCTCTTAAAAGCACACCCTTCATCTCTGGGCTTCCAGGCAGTGCAATGCCCAACCTTTTCTGAACAATTGCCACTATTCAGAAAAGTTCTCTAGGGAAAGAGATTCTCTTGGAATGGGCCTGAGCAGCACCCAGATGACCCCATGGAGTCCTGAACACTTGGAGCTGAGAGTTAGAAAACCCACCCCTCCAGGATTATAACCTGGAGCCAATGCTTAACTCATTGGACCTCTAGACAAAGGGCTGATGAGAGCTTCCTCCCTATCAGAATAACCATGAGGGTGAAATCAGGGCATGGGTATAAAAGCACATTGAAAGCCTCTCAGCACTGTTCAAATGCCAAATTAATTGTCTTGACCAGCACTTTGTATATGTCGGGCACCACCCCAGGCACTTTGAGTCCTGGGGTCTCCGAGCCTCCCAGCCACCTGGTAAGGAGCACATTACTGTGACCATTTGACAGATGAGGACACTTAGGCTCAAAGAAGTCAGTGAGCCCAGAGTTACCTCCCAGACCAAAAGACCCATGAGGAGAGCCGTCTTCAGCTATCAATCATCTCTGCACCTGGCAAAGCTCCTGCCACACACTGGCTTTCAACAACTATTCATCAGATAAATGAAGAAAGGTCAGATAGGTGGGCCATGCAAGAGGCGGACTTTGCAACCACGTCTGTCTGATTTCAAACAGACCACCACCAGGACCATCAATAACAGCATGTATTGGGTTCCTATTTTAAGCTAAACTGTAGGAAAGTGCCATGTTTGTGGGTCATAAGCAGTCAGATATCAGCAGTCTCATATCAGCAGGTTCAATCTGATGCACGTCAAGCATTGTGTCAGGGGCTTTATCACCTTGTCTCAATCATCCTGTGAACACTATTATTCCTATTTACAAATGAGGAAACTGAGGCTTAGGAAAGTTGAGTAACAGCCCAGTGTCATGACACCAGCAGTGAGTGTCCCGTGAACTGCCTCCAGTCCGTCAGTTGCCCAAACCCACGTTCTTTCCCCAAATTCACTTTGCTTCCCAAAATGCTGTTATATGACAGATTAGAAATCAAAGCTCTGCAGAAACTGCTGGTGAGGCTCACCCTATTCTCTGAAAGTCACAGACTTGTCACAAGTCACCATTTGTCCTGGACAAAGCTTTTCCTGGTCTGTCCCAGCCGGGGGGCTCTGCATTGTGGCGCATCCTTCGTTCCAAGGGAACGGAACCGAACATTAGCTGATAGGAATTAGGGGTGGAAAACTGCTGCCCTCTTTGCCCTCATGCAGGGAGTGGCGTGTGCCTCTTGTGTGGCCCTGGGCTGCTTGCAAAGCAGGGGGTGCAGAGTGGGTTCAAGTCTGGGCTCCAAATTTCTGGAGTTTAAGCAAACCACTTGTCCCTCTGATGCTTGGACTCCTGCTGTGTAAAGTAAAAGGTTTGGGCTGCCATGATCCCTGAGCTTCCTCCCAGCTAAAAGGTTCTCCCATCTCCTGTTTTCACAAGAAATGACAATCATCAAACAGGGTTTGCTGACACTTCTGTCCCCTGGCAATGTCAGTGCCTGTTTTGGCAGGAAATGCAATGTTCCAGGGCTCTGAACCACCTCAGACTCCCTTTGTATTTACCTAGCTAGAACGACTCCACATTCATCTCTACCAAGGATCATCTCAGACATAACAGGAATCACAACTCCTGGCATGAGAGCAGTTCGACTTGATTTTTCAAGTTATGCCAAACATGTTTCTCATTTAACTAAGGAGAGAAATTGGAAAATAAAGAGGCCTACTGACAGCCTTGTGGAGCACAGGAGGAGGCCACGTGGCATCCCTCCCGTGGCGTCTGCTGCCGGCTCTCACCTCTGGTCTCCTCACTGCACTTTACTTGTTCTCAGCAATCATGCATCCATTCTCTTATTTCCTGCGGTTCACCTCACCAGCTGCTGTATGCTTCACCATCTCTTTATATTTACTACTGCAAATCCAGGCACAGGGCTGGTCACATAGTAGGTGCTCAGGGTGTATGTATTACATGACTGAATAGTAAAGGGATACTCGTGAAAAATCCAGGATTTAGCCCAAAAGATCTGGGCTCTTCTGGCTGTCATTCACCAGCTGAGTGAACCAAAGTCTCCTCCAAGATAATAAAGGAAATAATATCCACTCTACCTACTATATAAAGTGAGAGAATATGAGAAGAATTTAATATTTCATCAGAAGACGCTAGCGGCTTTTTCTTACGCACCTTGCTGAGCCACAGTGTGGAAGCTGCCCAGGTCATGCCAAGCCTCCCCCCAACACGGTGGCCATCTCCAAAGGGGACCAGAGATATAACTCCGATTGCCATTTAATTTTAAATCAAGTCTAGGATAACTTGCTGAAGTCAAGACTGTGGGCTGCTGATAACCCAGGGAAGGCTGGAGACCTGGAATCCAGCCCGTGGCTCTGCACGCAGACGCCGAAGGACTGCCAGGCTGGAAGCTTATTAGCAAAAGGGCCGAGTGACAGCCAGCCCGGACAGACCCCTCAGGCACTCTCATGTATAAGCCCTTGTATCTGAGCTGACACTGCTTAAGGATTCTGAGTCACATTTCGCTTTAAACCTCCCTTGTCAGCACAGCCTCTCTGAACCAGCCGCCAGGGATCAAGCATCAGCAATGCATTATCACACCAGCTCCGCACAGGCACTGAGCGCACCTGAAACATGCCCTCCCGAGGGTCTCACCTCTCCAGGGCTTTACGGATCGGACCTGGAGGTCAGGCAAAGTCTTTTCAACAAAAAGCCTCTGCTTGAACCTCCTCAAGACGTACCTTTCAGAAAGAGAATACAGGGAAGCCCGAGTTACCTTGGCTGCAGAGTAACCCTGCACTCCAGAGCACCACGAGGAAAGTGGGGTAGGCGTCGACACAGTTTTGGCTATAGAAGAAATAAGAAGAAAAATCAGAAAATGTGTTATTGCAGTGTAGTCTGAAAATCACCTGAAACCCCAAACTAATAATCACTAGTGTACAGTGGGCAGGAGCCCCATTCACAATTCCCTTTACAGCTACCAGATAAGATGCAGCAGCCCCGTGTCACATCACCCAGACCGTGGCGTAAAGCAAACACCCGGTCAGAATCCATTTACTCTCTTCCTCGGTGAAGCCGATCGGAGACTTGGTTTCTTTGTAGATTGGCTTTGGCAGTGTTCCCGCCCCTGGCTGTGCCAAACACTTTTTAGAAGTGAAAAGTGAGCCACCCAGACAGCAGGGCTGCGGCGGCAGTCAGGGCGGAGGTGTAGGGGGGAAAAGAACCCAATGAAGGGAACCTTTATGCCACAACCGCTGGCCAGGCTGAGGAAGGGAAGGTGAGCTTTGCCCAGTCAAGAAACCAGGGTCGATTCTGAAATTCTCACGCTCAGAAAGTTATCTTGAATGAATGGGTCCCAATGTAATAACTGTAGCAGCTACTAAACACGAGCATTATGTCCACTGTTGTACGTTATTAGAGGCACAGAACTGCAGCCCTGGGACTGAGAATGTGATCCGTTTCCTCGTTCAAGAAAACTGGAGGGAACATTCTTTTTATTTAGCTGAATAACATTCCGTGTCTGGTGGGATCTAATATCTGACGCTCCAACCGTTTGAAAATCTATTAATACCAAAGATCTCCCCTGCTTCCTCCTTGTTCTCAGGCTTCTGTTTTTGTTTGTTTGTTTTTAAGTCATGGTTGTGTCTGGGTGGTGCAGAATTTTTGAAAATTCTTGATTGTCTAAGGGATTTGCTCCTTAGGAAGAACTGTCTAGTGATTTGACGCTGCATCAGTTACTCCATCTCAAGTCACCTTGGTCCCTAATGAAACATGGTCTGTCTGGAATTGAGCGAAGTTCTCCCAGCTTTAAAAGAACGGGCCGCTTCTCCAGATTTCCAGAATATGCCCAGAGTCCTGCCCCTCACCCTGACTCAAGCCAGTCCCTTTTCCATCCAGGACTTCTGACATGTCTTCCACCTGAAGCTTCATGCCCTTATGCCCTCCTTGAGAGAGGGCTGCTGCTGGCTGAATTCAAGATTTGGGCAATGACATGGCTGCCTCTTGCATGAAGGCTGGTGGCTGCTCATGTGGTCGTTAAAGTCACAGAGCGTGGCTCCAGTGCTGAGTCTGTGTGAGCTTACTGGCTGTGTGAACGCAGGTGCATTTCTTAGCCTTACTGAGCCTTGCTGTTCTTATGCAGAAGGGGTGAGTGGAGACGTCAGTAATTACCTTCCTGGATTGTTGTGAGAATAAAATAAGATAAAGCGGTGCCCGGCTCACAGTACACGGGCAGTAAACGGTGGCTCTTATTGCTCCAATGTTTTCCTTCTTATGACCCCCAGTGGAAACGTCTTTCCCTCTAACAAATTGTTATTATTCCAAATTTTCTTTTGTGGAGAGTTTCATGCCATTTTTTCGGCAAGGCAAAACCGACAAACCCATTTCAGCTCTCATCTCTCGAAGCCTAACTACGAGCTGCTCAGCAGATCTCAGGACAATTCACTGTGCTACGTTCAATTCAGTGCAGGACACTATCAATGTTTTTATGGAGAAAAGGACTCGTTGCTATTTTCCCTTTCTCTCCACCTTTGGCAATGAGATACAGGAGCACTTAAATTCATGTTTTGTTGTCTGGGTTACTTTTAAATAAATAAATATCACTAATAATGGTAATAGTGTCAATCCTAATCAATAAAATCAATGTAGATCTCTCACCTTCAAATTATTTGACAAGTCACTCTACTTGGAAGTCAGTCTAGAGTGGATTCTGAGAGATGCAGGGGAGACAGGACATTAGGTAGCATCTCCCAAAATGCATTTTGTGAAACACAAAACCCTTGCTATGCTCTGAAAAAAAAAAAAAAAAAGAAGGAGGGAGTCTGTAGTTAGAAACGACCTCCCCTTCTTGGAGAATCACAGAGTCCCTTAGTACGTTAAAGTTTCTCAAAAGTCTTGCTGTACAGAACTTGTTCTTCCCTGTAATACCTATTAGCAGCCCATGACCTTGTTATCTCTGGGACACATGCTAGAAAATTATGTATCTCCAGAGATCCCGCTTCCCTCTGCTGCAGCCTGGGCTCACCTGTGATTAAGGGAAGTATCAAAGGCCAGTTACCAGACTTTTCTCCAAAAATCAAGGAGTCACTGCGCCAGCTGTGCTCATCAGCTGGAAACAGGGCTTTGAACTGTATTTTATACACACGGACAGAGAATCAAGGTCATGATTCCTTTTATCTCTCAAACCCTGACTCAGCCCTGCCCTGGTGGGAGATGGGTGGGTGGACAGACCATTAACCACGGCCAGGTCTGAGCTGATGGGGCACACCTGGCTGCAATGTCTGTTTACCAACTGCCTCCAAATCTCAAACTGTCCATATCATCAACAATCATATTTTATGCTGAAAAATGTGCATCAGGCTTTTCAATCCACTGGCATCATTTATCTTTTACGCTCATCTTCTTTTATAGCTACAATCTCTAAATTTAGGATCTCACACCCCATCGACCAAAAGTTTTGATCACGCAACCCTGTGATGGGTGTATTTATGCATAAATTATATCCACATACCACTTTCAACCTGTATATTAAAAATAAGTAAAGCTTAATTTTTTATATTTTATGTAGCAAGCTTAAATACACATTCTTGCACCCCCATGGCTTACCCCTCTTTGGTGCTTAGGAGACTCCTGGAGACACTATCTCCGGAGATGATGTTCTACTGGACTAACACGTAAGTGCCTTCCCAGGGGCTTCCTGCCAGAGGCAAGCAGCCTGAGGGCCGTGGCTTTGCCAGCATTTTGCTGCACTGATTTCTCAGCCCCTTCTACAAACCACCACAGGCTCACACGCAGGTCTGTTAGGTGGGTCGGGGAGGAAGCAGTCTTTGTTGCAGACCCATAGCAATGACTGGGCAGCCTTCATCTTACAGAAAATTCTCCTTTTTCTCCCCTTACTCCCCACCTTCCTGCAGCTCTCTCCCCACCCCGCATCCTCCTTTCCCTCCTAAGGAGGTTAAGAAGTAAAGACACGTGGATTTGGGGAGCTGGGCTGCAGCACCCACACAGTGGGGACCTCCAGGCAGCAACGATTGCTCACCACTCTCCTCTAGTTCCTTCTTCCCTCAGGAACCCCAGACCACTGCAGAACTGGCAAACCATCCTACCAGTGACGCAGGGCAGCCACCACCGAATGACACTTCTGCAATTTGGAGACTGGCAGCAGGGGCCAGGTGCAAGCACAGGGGCTTCTGAGAAGCAGAGCTAGTTTACTCCCGGGGGGAAGCAGCAGAAACTAGACAGCCCGGCCTGCTCCACTCTTTCTTCACTGCTGGCAAGATGCAAATGTGACACTTCTCACAAGTACAGTGAAATTCCACTGCATGGCCCAGCCACCCTGCCTAACTTCTCCCAAATGCATGAGTTGAGTTCCTAAGAACTCAGTAATCTGGATGGAAAGAAGCTTCTCTTTCCAAACTAATAGAACAGGATTAATGCTTTCTTTGGATTCCATTTTCAGAGAGGTTTTGACGTCGCCCCTGATCAAAGACACCTTCTTTGCACCTTTTGCACATGGATGTGTCTGAGGGGTACCCTCACATCTCCCCTGCAAATGGCACAGAGAAGTTGATGGCCCCCTACATACTTTCCCTGGCCTCCTTTAAGTGTAAATGTCTTAAATGATTTAAATCACAGCTTTCAACTCCTTCAATAGATTCTGAGAATTAATATGCTAAAGGTCCAAATGTTAAAATAGGAGGAATCGGCGGAGGATTTCCTTGAGGTTAGAACTGCCGGAATAATGCTGTGCGGGAACACTTAGCATGAGAGAGAGGTCCCCGCACAGGAGGGGCCGGCAGGAGGGAGGGGATCTATCTCCATTGTGCACTGTGCAGGGGCTGTGAGCCCTCAGGAGCGGCCTGAAGTACAGGGCCCCAGAGGTCAGGGGGCCGGGGAACCAGCCTGCTCGGCCTCATAAATGTGTCCATGCATGGGGCCCATGGTCCACGCAGCAATTTAGAAGCTGAGGGAGAAAAAGGGCCTGAGATGAGAAACAGCAGTGACAACAGCTGGGGCTCCCATACTCCCCGTACCTCGTTTACAAAATAAAAAGACCCAGATGAGGAAAAGGACTGGAGAGAAAGCATGTTGGTGAGTGTGACGAAGGCCTGAGCAGCTGAGAGCCCTCGAAGTCAGTTTAATTCACGGGAGGTGAATCGTTTGTCTTTTGTGAGTCCTGAATGTGAGTCCTTCCCCTGAGCTGCCCCCACAGAGCCGGCTGAGGCCCGAGGCCCTGACGCTTCTGCGGGCATCCTCTTTCATGCTGTTCTTGCCATTCTAAGAGGACTTTTCCCAGGTGGCCATGACTGCTGCTTTGGAAGGTATCTCCAGGGACATCCTAGTCTCGTCAACACCGCAGGCCGGCTCCTGAGCTAGCTCGTCTCCCAAGGCTTCCTTTCCTACAGGCCTGTGGTCACAGGTACAGAGAAGCAGGCAAGCAGGCCACTGGCTGAACCGTCTATTTAAACACATTCTGCATAAAGGAGAAATGAGTGTTGGAATAACATCGTTCAAATCTGCATCCCAAACGGCATCCATCTCGTTCACTGCGCCGTTCGGTTGTTTTCAAATGGGCTTTTTTATTCAAAAGTAAACAATGAGCAATCGCACAATTCCCCCATTCTTTCTGTTCTCATTCTGGTTGCTCGAGGAGGCCATGAAATGTCCTGGAGGCCCCTCGGACTCCCACTGAAGGGGCGCCAGGGGGCGGGGGGCAGCTGCCATCACGCCTGCCTATTGCTCCTGAAGCCGGCGGAGGAGTGGGGCTGGGTTTCGGGGGAGTCCCTCTGGGCTAGCCCCACAGGAAACTGGTCGGCCCCGGTGAGTCCGTGACCGGCTCAGAGGTTTCTGGAGCAATAAGGAGCTGTGCGGATCACGCCAACCCCACCCCAAATCCCCACTTCCTGTCTTTAACTACAAGCACTTAGGTGATGAAGGGTGTCCACAAAGCCCCCCCCCCCCCCCCCCCCCCCCCC